GATTCCCAACCTAAGCATCATCATCATCATCATCATCATCATCATCATACATATATGTGTAGTATGGACCCTTATGGAAATTTGTGTATAGTACTTTAATCCTGTCTTCTGCTAAATTTCTTTCAAAAATCCAGTGCAGGAATACCAATATCTTACCTGGGTTTGATAATTATAAAACAACCACAAGAAAAAACACACTAAAAAGGCCACAATTCCCTTTTTTTTTTTTTTTTTTTTTTTTTTTTTTTTTTTTTTTTTTTTTTTAACTGGAGATACAACCCAATTAATACCAAGAGGGTCAGATCATGTTTCTCCACCAAGCAGAAAGCAGCCAGCAGCTTCTGGTGGCCCTTAGGGAGTCTTTTGCTTACTTCCAAAAGGAATTCGACAATAGATGTATTACATTACCAAGTAATGAATACATCAAAGCTGGTGAACAAGAAATTGCAGCTTTTACTCTGTTTGAGTGAGAACAAAATATAAAAGCACCAATTGAAAAAAATAATCAAATGACTATAATTTAATTTTTTGCTTTGTTTACAGATTTGAAAAAACTTTAATTCAGCTCTAGTAAGCACCTTTACGATAACATGTATCAAAAGTGCCATTCTGAAAATGTACATCGATGCAGGGAGTATTTCCAGTTCCCTAAAGAGTAAACAGCATATTCTCTTCTATACACTTATCCTGAATGTGATCAGAGTATACCTGCTTCCTATTTAATATTGTTCCTAGGGATACCCGCCTTGGTAGACTAGACAAAACAAGTGCAGAATGTACCACGAAAAGGAAATCTTGAACATACTGAAAGAACAAATACGCATGGTTTCCATTATTCGGGGAGGAGGGGACAGTATACAATATTGTTTTCCATGCCTTTCTTTGAGCTCCTTTGTTCACACATTTCACAGGAAAACCCCAAAAGAACTTTTCATGAAGTTTGATTTCTGCTATTCTCCTAAGATTTTAATCCACCTCCACATTTTAGGAACTTATCAACAAATCAAAGCATTTTAGTTTTATCGCTACTGAACATATTTACAGTTTTCAACACACACACACAGCTAATCAAAATGTTTATGGGTTTGTAAAAGATGACCACGTGGTAACTATCTTATTTGTTCTTACATTTTCAGAAATGAACATAAAATTCGATTCTTGTAGCTCACTATTTCATTTAAATGAGACTTTTTAAAACCACACAGTTTAGAAAAAAAAAACCGATACAATGTATTAAAACACATAATAACAAGAGTCTACATGTAAAAATATAACTTTTACATACACAGTTTCAAAATAATGATACGTTTGCCATTTGTTGCATAAAATTTACAAATGTATTTCATTACTATGTAACTGGCAAAACAGGAGAACAGATGGAACATTTAGACCATTTCCACGGATTTATGGCATTTACTCAGTGCTGATAGGTGGAAAAACTACTTGAACAGGGATTTTTTTTTTTTTCTTAATACATGCCAAGATTGTGTGGCTGTAAAAATAGAAACGAGTTAGAGACAAAAGGAAGCTCACATATATCTAACTAGGAGCACTATTTGTTTACTGCACTATACACCAAAGTCAATCATTAGAAAGATTTACGATGGGAATTGGTTCAATTGTGCCCAGACGTCAAAGCTAGCTATCTGATGAGTTGCTGTGCCATAGTTTGATCTATGTTTCTATCAAATGTTAAGTATAAACTTCATTCATACTGGCCAGAGAAAATACTGCACTACCCCTCCTCACAAAGTGCAACTTAATGCTTTAGGACTTATAAGGCTTGTTATAATGCTGCATGATGATTGAATATTGGCATTTTTTCAGACGAAGGAGGAGGCAGGTAAGTCATCTACTTTTTAGTAAACCCATTTTGAAAAAAAAATTAAGAAAGCAACAAAATCAATCAGCTCTGTCACACTACTTGCAATTTTCTCATTTGACCTTTTTTGAACTTGACTCTTCTTTTTTTTAAGTTTTTGTATTTTTTCCAAAAATCTGACCATGTATTCAGAAACGCCTCACTGCACACGACTTCGGCTACACAGGTAGGTAACACTTGAATCGTTTTGTTAAATCACAGCCACTTTGATTATGTTATGTTTCCGATGATATAAACATTGGAAGGCACAGTGGTAACATTGTAGCATTCTAACCGTGTACCTCTGAAAATCCCAGAAGAGGGTCACAAGGGCAGCGTCACAAGCTAGACAAACTTTTTTTGCCTCGCCTTGGTAATGCTGCTTGTAATATCTACACATGATGTGACTCTTAAGTCCCGTGTTCCCAAAAGACTGGAGAAACAACTTTCTACTTATTTATGAATGAGAAGCAACATCAGGGTCATCATTTCGTCCTGCACTGCCCCTCCGGAAGCAGGGTTGGCACTACAGGTTACGATAACAAACAGGGGAAAGGGACAGAAATCAGACAAAAAAAAAAAATCCATATTTACAGTAAAATCTTTCTTTTAAAAAAGTTAATCAGTACTATTTTTTTA